TGCATCCCCAACCAGACGAACAGCCCCGTGGGAGCGGAGGCTTCACTTACGTGCCGTGTAACAGTGGATCAAAGGGGGGGTGCTGGGCGCCATACACGTGCTGGATGCTAGTCAGGAAGAAAGGGAAAACAAATTAGCTCCTTTCAGCTTTCCCCAGGGCCCACACTGACCACCCTCCCAGAAGCCCATGCGCCTGGGGAAAAGTCTCCACCAGCTGCCACAGGTCGCCCTCCAGCCACTCCGGGGTCCTCAGGGCCCCCTCAGAAGGGATGGAAGGCACCACGGAGGCTCACACCTCACAAACAAGGGGCATTCAGCCTTCTCTGCCACCGGCCTGAGCACAGGGACCGCTGCCCTACAGCGCCACCCCAGGCCCCAGGCACCGACCAGTGACTGGGAGCTGACCACGTCTCCGCACCAGTGACGTCAAGCTCACACCTCACAAACAAGAGGCACTCAGCCTTCTCTGCCACCGGCCTGAGCACAGGAACCGCTGCCCTACAGCGCCATCCCAGGCCCCAGGCACCGACCAGTGACAGGGCTGCTGGGAGCTGACCACGTCTCCGCACCAGTGACGTCCCCGGCAGCCTCTCTCTAGGATCACATGTCACAGGTGGGGCTGAAAACGGACCATGAAATGCCAGACAGCAAACTCTCACCTGGCACCATTCTGTCTTAAAGACGAAGGGCAGAATTACAAAAAGGAGATAACGATGATGTTTTAAGCACTTAATGCTTTTATCACAAAAGTCTGATGCTCGTTAGAGTAAATTTGGAAAATAGCTGGCAACAAAACAAGCCGAGTGGCAGACACCACACTGGTCAGCTGGGCGACCCGCCCGCACCCCCTCCTCTGGGGACTCCCAGCCGGGGGTGGCCATGGGGCGGCACAGGCCATCGGCAACGATGGCAGACCCTTCCGTGCCTAACGGGGACGGCGCAGCTGGCTTCCCCTGCTTCCTGCCTGGAGCACAGACGCGAGGCCCACGGGTCCTCAGCTGCCTTGCCACCCTGAGGACACGCAGGAGGAGGAAGGCCTCCCACGATGGACGGCGGGGCAGGAAGGGGAGAATGAGCGCGGGCCCACTGCCAGGCCAGCCGAAAACCGCCTCGCTCAGACTTCCACGTCCACGAAACGGACCACCCGTGCGTGGAAGGCACCGGCACGGGCTGCTCCCAGCCGCCCGCGGACGCTCTGATGCGCCGCCTCGCGGGGGCCCGGGTGAGGGGTAAGGTCAAGTGCAGACACGGCCATGTCTGGCATGCAGACTGCTTGGATCTGTCTAACAGAATGAAATCCTGCCTTTCTCACCTAGCGACATAGCGTGACTACTTCTCCATGCCGTCACCCCTCTCCAGTTCACTGAAGTGCACTTACTGACTTTTCATGGGCTGTTGAGACATGCGAAATACACGTGCGGCGTGTGTGAATGCAAAATCTCAGTGACAAGGCCGTGCAGGAGTTCCCTGTGCGTTTCTCTGCGACTCCTCGTAAATCGAGCGTTACTTCTGAACTGTGTAAGTTTGTAAAAATCATAACGCCAGACTGAGCACCGGTGAACGCACCCCTGCCTGTGCCGTCTCCCCAGAGCCTCGCCCTCACCGCACCCTGTCCTGCCACGTGGCTGCACCGCGATTCACGTAACCAGCGCTGACTGTGAGACACTCGACCTGCTTCACACTGCCTGTGATTATAAAAACAGCCAGAGACATCTCTGGGGACAAACACTTGCCCACAACTGTGAGAGCTTCAGGAGGATAAATTCCCAGAAATGGAACGCCTGACAAAGAATGCATCATGCCGGCTGCTGGCACACAGCGCCACAGGCAGCACGGCCACGGCCCCAGCGGCGAGGGGGACAGACCGCAGATGGCCACCAATCTGATGGGAGAAGAGCCGTGTCAGAGCAGTCTCGGCGCTGGCTGCGTGTCCTCGATCACTAGTGAGGTGTGAAAGTTTTTAAACGCTTTTGTTCATTTGTGCTACTTATTTTGTAAAATCCGTAAAGAGAGGACCCCTCTGTCCTTCAGGCGGTGTGGTCTGCAGAATCGCAGCCCCTCAAAGACATCGTGGCCCAATCCCAGACCTGTGTCACCCGATATGGCACCCTCGGCAAGCCCAGCTCCAAATGTCCTCACCGCTCAATTCTACCACACACGTAAAGGAGAGTTAGCGCCAATTCTTCAGAAATTCTTCCAAAAACTAGAAACGGAGGGAACACTTCCCAAGTCACTCTCTGTGGTCACTATTACCCTGACACCAAAACCAGACACACACGGCATAAGAAAACTACACACAAGTACATGCAAAAATCCTCAGCAAAATACTGGCACAGCAAACCCAACATGAAAAAAAGTCACACGTCACGACAAAGTGAGATTTATCCAAGAATATGAGACTAGCGTAACAACGAAAAATCAATTACGTAATAAACCATATTAATAGGGGAAAAAAAGACATGATCATCTCAGTAGTCGCAGAAAAAGCATTTGAAAAATTCAACACGTTTGAAAAATTTGAAAAAGCATTTGAAAAATTCAACGCCCACTCCTTCACGATGAAAAGGCGCCACAAACCAGGAACAGAAGAAAGAGCCCTTTCGACAACGTGCTGGGATGGCCAGAGATCCACAGGCAGAACAGAGCGGCACGCCAGCCTCTCCACACACACGGGTTAGCTTGAAATCAAAGGCCCGAACGGAAGAGCTAGGATTATAAAACCCTTAGCAGGAAACACAGGAGTAGATCTCTAAGAACTCAGATCAGGCAATGGTTTCTTAGAAAGACCCCAAAAGCAACAATAACAACAAAAAGATAACTTGGACATTGTCAAAATTAAGACCTTTTTGCACTTCAAAGGACACCACCAAGAAAGTAGAAAGACAACCCACAGAATAGGAGGCGTTTTTGGCAAATCCCATTTCTGATAGAATACACCTAAAATATATAGAGAACTCTGAAAACCCAATAAAAAAAGAGAACCTAACTTAAAATGAACAAAGGATTTGAACAGCTATTTCTCCGAAGAAGACATTACAAGCATCACGTCCAAGCAGCACCTGAAAAGATGCTCGGCATCCAGTCCCTAAGGAGATGAGACGCACACAGAGACCCCGCTCCACACACACGCGGTGGCTAACACGAAACAGGCGGTAACGAGGGCTGGCGAGCGTACTGGGAGACCAGGGCTCTTACGCACCGCGGGTGGGGATGACAAACGGGTGGAGCCACCTCAAGAAACGGCCCCCCAATCCTCGCACAGGCGAAGAGTTAACCATGTGGCCCAGCAACTCCACTCCCAAGGGAAATGAAAACGTACGTCCACACAAAAACCGTACAGGAATGTTCACAGCAGCATCACTCCTAAGAGCCGAAAGTAGAAACAACCAACGTCCATCACCAGAGGGATAAACAGAACGAGGTACATCCATGCGATGGAACATCACTCGGCCGTAAAAGGAAGGACTGACACCTGCCACAAAGCGGCGGAGCCTTTAAAACATTCAGCTGTGTGCAAGGAGCCGGTCCCAGAAAACACCTACTAGGATTTCATTTTACAAAATGTTGGAACAGACAAATCTATAGAGACAGAAAGATCTGTGGTTGCCTGAGGTAGGGGTGGGAGGCTGGGGGTGACAGCTGAAGAGTACAGGGTTCCTTTTCGAGGTGACACGCGTTCTAAAACTGACTGTGACGATGGGCACACAACTCTTTGAATACACTAACATACCACTGAATTTTACACACCAGGCGAGTGAACGGTGTTGCATGTGAATTTAAATGGGTGGGTTACATCGCATGTGAATCTCGATAAACGTGTAATTTTTTTAAAAGGCACCATAGATTCCAAGTGGTTCTCCTGGGTGCTTTCTTGGAACTCAGCCACCACACCTTGAGGAGGCCCAGCCTGGCCGCATGGAGCGCCCGTGAGTAAGCGTCAGAGCTCCCAGCGCGAGCCCGGGCCCCAGCCGGGGGCCTGCACCAACGGCCAGGCACGTGCTTGAACCCGCCTTCCGATTTCGGTCTCGGCCTGGCGGAGCGTCAGCCAAGTAACCGCTCTGGGCTTTAGCTTCCTCACCCCAGAAATGGGGATCAGAATGCGTACGGCATGAGACGACCGACCGCACGTGACAGCAGTCCGGATGCCACACAGCGACTGGCAAAACAGTGCTCCTCACCACGCTCGACCTCCTGGAACACCGCCAGTCCTCCGTGGCGCCTCGACGTACCTGTGTGGCTCGCGGCCAGGCGCCAGTCTGCTCTGCTGCCTGCGACATCTGCATGTCATTTTCACAAGGTCCTCCAGCATGACCACACACTGCAGGCCCTTCCCCTCCTGGGACAGCAGCACACTCATTAATTCTTCATGGCCGCACTGCTTATGTTTACTGAGCAGAAAATGTTCCGACAAAGTTCAAGCTCAGACTAAAAGGAACCTCATTTTATCTTATTAAAATTGCATTTTTATTTGGTCTTGCATAGCTAAAAAGAAAACAGGCTTCAACTGAAGCCATTTAAAGAAAAATAAGTGGCAGCCAAAGCACCTACCTCGTTTCAGATGAGGAAATCTTTCTTTTAAAAATATATGAACCCATAAACTTTTTAATAAATTATAGTACTTTAAATCACTACAATACTTCATTGTTTTAAAGAGAACTCTAACGATTCCTTATGAAAAGCAGATACACATGACACAAATCTACGCTGTGTACACGCCCTAAGTACGCACCTTGCACAAGTACGCAAGGAGACGAGTTTGGCAATGTTTGTAAGTTAAAAAAAATGTTTTTAAGAAAAATCTGGATGTCCATCATCAACTGAATAATGAGAAAACTGGGACATACACACATGATGGAACATCAACCACAAAAACATGAACTGCAGCTACAAGAATGAGCACAGGCAAATTTCATAACACTGAAGACCAAATCAGCTGAACATACAGAGTATGTCATCATTTTGAAAAAGTTTTTAAAAAGGGAAAATGATCCTATACATCATTCCTGGACACATATGTGAGCAATCAAAACCCTAATGCACGCCTGGCAGCGAGAACGGGCATCCAGAACAGTGGTTACCTGAGGGGAGGGTGGGTGGCACGGGGCTG